GGCATAGGTTTGCGCTAACATCGGTTGATGTGAAGAAGCTTATATTTTCTTTTGTGATTCAAAATAATATTCCGAACAGATTTACTATTGATACAAAGCAAGCTGGCCATGACTGGTTTGTCTCATTTATCCAGAATTGTCAATTCGAAAAGCTCAAGGAATGTCTGTAGCTCGAGCCCAAGGTATAAATAAAGAAGAATACGGACGACACTTCGATCTTTTGAAAAAAGTATTAATAGAGAATGATTTATTAAACACTTCGAGAAAAATATTTAATATTGATGAGTCCAGGCTGCAACTCAACAATAACCCAGGGAAAGTTGTTGCCACTAAAGGCATCAAAACTGTAAACTGCGTCACAAGTGCTGAGAAAGGGGAGACGATATCAGTAATAGCCTGCGTAAATGCAGAAGGTAATTTCCTTCCTCCCGTTTGTATTTTTAGAGGCAAGAAGAAAAAACAAGAATTTGAAGATGGCTTGTCTCCTGGTGGTAAAGTCATGATTAATGAAAAGTCGGCCTATGTAACAACAGACATTTTTAAAACATGGCTTTGAGAGCACTTTATTGCAAGAAAGGAGCCCGGTAAAGTACTTCTCATTCTAGATGGACACTCCTCGCACTGTTCGGATGTAGAGTTGTTGGATTTAGCTGCAAGCAACGATGTTCTAATTTTGTGTTTGCCAAGCCATACGACCCACTGGTTGCAGCCACTGGACAGATCATTTTTTAAGCCTCTAAAGACCTACTGGTCACAGGCATGTAACACCTGGATACATAATCATCCAGGTCGGAAATTAAGTAGGCTGCTGTTTCCGGCACTTTTGAACATCGCATGGGGAAAAGCAGCGACAGTACAAAATGGAATTTCGGGTTTTAGAATCTGTGTTATATATCCGTTTAATGCCACCATAATTCCAGATCATGCTTTTATTCAGCAAAATCCTGAGACAATTCCCATTAACGATATTTTAGAAGAAACCGTTAATGATGTCATTCCTAATGATGCCCCCATTATTAACAATATCCCTACCGATACTCCTAACGACGGGGTCAATATTATTGATGACGTTGCAGTAATCTCCAAAACCAACAACACAACATTTGAGGAGATTGCGCCTATTCCAGTTATGCCTGGGTCAAGTGGTTGTCAGAAAAGGAAACAGCATGCTGAGCTTCTTACATTTCCAGAAATTATTGCACAAAAACGACGCAGAAAAGAAATAAAAGAAAAAAAAAAGGAAATTGCAAAGATAAAACGCAAGCAAGAAAAGAAGGTAATGAAGACAAGAAAGAAAAAAGACATTTACTGTTCAGAAGAAAAAACGTATTGCAAGGGCTACTGATGATACCAGTTCGTCAGATAGCGAATTGGAAGTGCTTACAGTAGAGAGCGAGGGTTCAAAACTGGAACATGATGATTCAGAATTTTGTGCCCAATGCGGTGGATACTATTTTGACAAAAAAGTTCCGAAATGTGATTGGTTACAATGTCTAAAATGTCATGATTGGGTTCACGAGATATGTACTTCTTCCCACGCATCTTGTGCAGACTGTATCCAACTAAATCAACTAGTGAGTAGGTCTAGAGCTCTGAAGATATAAGTTTTATTAGCCTATGTATAGTTGTACTACGCAATATATTTGCTATGTTGTAAAGAATACATATTTTTTCTAATCTCAAAAAAAATGTTAATTTCTTACGAGAAGAGCATGTTGCCATATTCCCCAACGCGTGATGCCATATTTCCCAAGGGTACGGGTAATATGGCAATAGCGTATCATCCGAAATTTCTGCTTCTATCTTCGTAGTGGGAATATGGCAACGAGCCTTTCTCGTCAGATACCCATATAGACACGCTCTAAGATGCCACCTTTTTCTTGCGGCTAAGTTGGTTGTTCGTTAGAATGTGAACGTTTGAAGTTTATGTTGCTATATTCCCCCGTTTTACTCTACATTAAAATGAGTTATTCTTGTGTAGAATCGATAAATAATAGCATTTCTATTTTTATTTAGTTTATAATTATAAATAATACTTTAATTTTAATAAAACTATATGAAGTCAGAGCAATTACCTTTCACGCGAAAGGCCAGGGTTCAAATCTAGGATCGGGGATAAATTCATTTAACTTTTTTTTGTTTATTTTATAAATTAGTAAAATGATTCAAAATGGTTTTTGAAATGCGCATTTCCTCTTATGTTAACAAATTTAATATTTTGCCCATAAACAATCAGGGTTTAGAAGTGGATATAGTTGTACAACGGCTCTTTATTGTGTAACAGACATAATTCATTCCTTATTAAAAATACATGAATCTTATTAATAATAGATTACTCAGGAGTAATCGATATCTTAAATCATTAGATAATATTTTTTGTATGTCACTATTACATTGGTAAAAATTCAAACTCTCTTCTTAAGTCTTATCTCAGGTTATGCCTCATAGAAACGTATTAGGTCCGGTGTTTTTTACTTTGTACATTTCGTATTTCCACAAATAATTTTTAACAGTCTGTATATATATTTTGTACGCAGACCGCACCTAACTGTTATTCTAACATTTAGTATTTGCGGGGGCTTTAATAATATCATGTGACAGGCTTCTGGTTCACCTAAAGTGAATCAGCGAGTCTGTGTGGGGTTATGATGGTGATTCCCGAATAGGGGTTGCTCAGGCGCCAGTTTTGGTATCGCAGTTTGCTCTGCGACCCTGTAGTACACCAGAGTGTACTCAAGGTAAACTCAGTGGAGGTAAAAATAATTCCAGGCGGTCACTGCTAGGTAGCCACTATACTAGAATAAATAAAAATAAAACACTTATCTCCTTTAGATCTCGTACTCTACGGTACCCTGAAAGAGAACGGTTAAGAACCAGCAATAAGAGAAACACAGGAATAGGTAATAAAATATATATTTACAAAAAAAATACAATGGTGGTAGTGCACGGTTCTGGCACGGCTGTAAACGGAAAATTAAACAAACTGAATGATTACAATTGAATGAGATTAGAAGAAAGTAATAAATATTAACGGCTCCCTGTATTCGGAAAATTTATTAAAAATAAATTATTACACTTGAAAACTAATTAAATATCGGTTTAAAGTCTCCCTCATGTAGACATCTGGTAGTCCATAGCTTCTACAAGAGAGAAACCCTTTCCTTTATCGACGGGGAAAGGAAGCGAATACCGCTATCACCCCCTGGTTAACGCGAAAATGGATGAAGGGTGCGAGTGCCCCCGGATTTAAATCCAATTTAATTTATTACCCTGACAGGTACTAAGGAAATTAATAGTTCGTATTACCTTTTACTAATACGGAAAAATATTTAAATCGGAAATTATGTACTACCCGGTATATAGAAGGTATGTTTTCCCAAATACACGAAATTAAATTAAATATTCTGGTCAAAATAATAATACGAAAACAAAAACGGTAATTAATTAAAACGGAGTAATTAATTTTTAATCAAACGGTTGACCAACTGAGAAACAAAAAAATAAAAGAAAACGGGTAGTTACGACACTCCCTGTATACGGTAAATGAAGTTTACAATTTTCGTCGAGTGAGAATGGTATGAATTTGAGCGGTGTTTGGACAACGAAGGCGACGGCGATAGAAAAGATTATTTTGAGATTTGCCCAAAGTCGATCAAAACGGTGTGTGAATTCATTTTATAGAAAACGTCAGGCTTCGTTCAATAATTAGTTGTTGATGGGAAATGGAATAATTCAAATATAATTGAGAATGAATAAATAAAAGAAAAGAGAAACTTACATGAAAAATACTGGGCCCTTCTTATAAAAATTTGCCAATGGTTTGCCACTAAGGGATGAAATGAAAAATGCTGGGCATGAATCAAAATTCTTTCACTTGTCGGACGGATGTCCCAAACTAATTGTAAATAAAAAAATTAATATGCGGTTTCCTACCTTAGAAAAATAAACAGGGTTCAGCAGTCTAACAATATCATGGTCACTCACTAGTCGGTGGAGAAGAGAAAAGAGCTTACGGTTGCCGGAAATCAAGAGAGCTAATTCCCAGATGTGATCGAATTTATGCTTTTTAGCTGGGCAAGATTGAAGACCGGTAAGGTAAGGTAAAAAATATGTCCTTCTAGTACCTTGACAAATAAAAGTAGATAATTGGTACGAAATCGTCTCTACAAAATGCCCATTCGGATTTCGGCAAATATAGGAATATTTTAACCTACGAGGGTACTCGCAATTGTTGCAAAACGGTAATTCCTGGAAAACAGAAATACGGGGGATCTTCTACATGTCCTCAGGCGGGAATTAATTGAAATATACATTTTTAAAATTAATTAAAAATAAAATTTAGTGACTTCGTCACAATCAATACCGATCTAGCCGCAATTGTGCCAGTTTTTAAAATTAATAATAAAAAATTTTTAATAGTCAATGATTTTCAAAAACCAACTGCAAAATTGAACTTATTAGTCAAATTTTAGAAGTTCAATAACTGCTATAACGTTTCTATTATGGCTTTCTATCTTTATTCTCTTCTAAAGTGGTCACTCTTTTTTCACTTATACTCACTACGTTATTGTGGTGTTTACCCCCTCAAAAAATGTAATTTTAGTGCTTGTTGTCATTTGAAATGTATATTTGCAGTATCAAATTTAATATTTGAGAAGCGTTAGTTCTATAATTGGTAAAATGTCCTATCTACTGCAGGAATAAGACAGAAAAAGAAAATAAATCCGATTTCCAACTCGGAAAATACTTTAAAAGTAACTGAAGAAGAACCCAAGAGAAACAAAACAATATTTAAATAACACGATACAAAATCAAATTTTCAAACGTACTGTTTCCATTTTTACGGATCCTGCGCCATTCCACGCTTTTCTCGCCGTAGATCCTGCTCGTTAAGAAAAACAGCAACTCGTAGTTCGTAGTACACTCCACTGGATCAACAAGTTTCCTGCTGGCGGTCGCAGGACGAACATCGCTGCAGGAACGCGCGCGAATCCGCAGCTATGGCGATCTCGGTGAAAGTGAAAAAGTTTCAAATACCTAAATGCAAGGGCGAAAAACTAGCCAAAGTAGAATTTAGAGGTAAATATTGATTTCTAATATTTAATACAACATTTCGATCTGTACAAAATGTATAGTATATAATAGAATTTTTTTGTCATGAATAGCAGACACAAAAAAAGAAACAAAAACAACTTTGCAATGTTACAATCGACTAGTCAATTTAAAATTAAAATGATATATTTTAAATACAATAAATATATTGGCATTGATATTAAAATTCATTTTTTACTAGAAAATACTTTTAATTTATTATTAAAAATGTTTAATTTTTACACTTTTAGTTGTATCTAATATCGACACCTCTTATGTAGAGTAGCGCAACTGAAAACATCTAATTTTACAGCAGAGTAGAGTAAAAAACAATTTATTACAAATCGAAAATCCTATGTCCAGCCCGTATTATTGAATTTATGGCATTAGATAATATCAATTGGGACACATTAAGTGCAAAACACACAATTTTGTGGAAGGTGAATTGTTGAACCATTATGTAAAAGAGGTTTAATTGCTCCTAAAATGTTTTTATGGCTCTCAACTAAGAATATTGCTTTACGGAAATTTTTTATTTAGCAGATTAATTCAACCTCTTATACACCCCAAGTTTTCGTGAAAAACATTTCCGAATAGTCTAGTTTTATCCCCTTCAGGATATATACATTTTTATTTTTTATTTTTGAGTTTTTTGAAAAATTAATTTGAAAAGTTGTTATTTGAATGACTTCTATATACACAGTTAAAAAAAGGTATCAAGTTAGGATTCACTCTGTATATGCCACTCAATTTATTAAAGCATTTAATTTCAATATACTTATGTCAATGTTGGGTGATTTCTACGCGGAAGAAAAGTTGATATAATGTCTGTTTTTTGTCTATTGCTGTATAAGTTTTTATTTTTTTATATATTGTGTTCATTGTCTAGAATATACAATATTAATTGGTAGATAAAAAGGCATGGTAGAATGTCAGATTTTGGAAACAATGATTTACATGATATTGTAGGTGATACATTATATAAAGCTCTCGTTACTTTTTCTGCGCCATAAATGCTTTGTTGATGTGACATGATGCACCCCAAAATACTAAACTGTACTGAAGAGTAGACTGCATTAAACCATAAAAAATAAGCTTTAATATATCAACAGTCACAGTCTCACTTAAGTTTCTGATATCATATCCAACAAATGGCCGCCCTTTGCCGATATTGATGGGGAGATAACCATGTTGGCTAAATGTTAAAAGGCCATTATATTTTCATGGTTTGTGGGCCATCAATCATTAATTGATATTGGCCTTGCGTTGGGGGACAGTTATTTATCCATCTCATATATTTGTAATTTTAAAGACCAATATTGTATAAAAGAAGGAAACTGAAGAATTTTTATGAAAATCATTTTGTTGGTACTTGCAAGAGGTGTTTTAAGTTAGTTTATTATTTTTTCAAAGTGAGTGTAATTATGGAATCTAAGGAAAAGAGGAAGTAAGTATTAAAATAGTACCTGTTTTGTAGTAGTACAATTAGATTTTAAAATTAATACTTACTGATTACTTTTTACTCAGATTTTACCAAAAAAAGACGCATAATTAATTTCATTATTTATATATTGCTAAATGTTCCTGGATTAAAAAAAAAGCAATAGTGTGTCAGTTTGGAATGTCATAACTATGTGTATAAATTTTATAATTTTGAGGTGTAGGTTACTGTCAAGTAGGGAGAGTCTACAGGCGATCACATAGGGAGTAGAGAATAAAGAAGACAAAAAATAAATAAATAAACATTTACTTAGTATAATTCAAAGTTTATTTTTGAAGAAAAAGTTTTTTGCGGCTGTCATAGGAATCGTACGAATACAAAAAGAAATGCAATGTTACTCATCGCCCTAAAGTGTGCTGCGGTCGTCATAAGTAAAAGTATCAGCAAAAGAAGATAGAATAGTCCAGAAATGTCTGGAAATGTCATTCCTATAAAGACTATCGACAATGGTCAAATTTCAAATTTCCGTCCTTATTTTTAAAAGGTTCGCTAAATTGTCTGTAGTTGGCATGTCTAATGACAGCAGAGTCAATTTTCTATGTAAGTCAATGTAAAATTAGGTGATTTTTAAAAAAATTTGTGAAAAGAATCAAAATAATGTGAAAAAAGTACCTTAGTACAAGTGACAAGTGACAAAAAACATCAAAGCAAGATTTAAGTCGTTCCAGATTGTAAAACAGGAAAAAAATCAAATTTAAAACTAAAGAAAACACAAGAAGAAATCAATTCAATGTATTTTTAAAGCTTCTAATGTAAATAAAATAATGTATTCATGTCTAAATATAATATTTTTTGTAAACTAGTCACAATATGTTCGTCTCCTTATCTCTAGTCTATGTTATCAGTTGTATAGTTATTGTAAAAGTTGAATTAAAGTTGGGATACCAAAAACCTGCGTAACATTGGTGACAGCGGTGTGATCAAAACTGATCCGGAGAAAATTATCGTTATCAAAGATTGTCCTAAACCAAAAGATGAAGGAGAAATTAGAAGTGTTCTTGGACTGTGCTCATATTACCGGATTTTCGTCAAAGACTTTGGCCGAATTGCTAAACCCCTTCATCAACTAACTGAAAACAGTAGTCTATTTGACTGGACGCCGAATTGCCAAAATACCTTCACCGAGTTAAAAAAGCGATTGACCACGGCACCCATCCTAGCCTATCCTCGAGAAAAAGGACAAATCATTTTGGACTACGATGCATCCCAACACGGCGTGGGCGCCGTGCTATCCCAAGAACAAGAGGGGGAAGAGAAAGTAATTGGGTATTTTAGTCAGACCTTGGGAAAAGCTGAGAATAATTATTGCGTCACCAGGAAAGAACTATTAGCTATTGTCAAAGCCCTTGAACACTTCCATACTTACCTTTTTAACAGAAGTTTTATCATTAGAAGTGACCATAGTACCTTGCAGTGGCTAATGAATTTAAAAAAAAAAACCTGAAGGACACATTGCTGGATGGATAAAAAGACTGCAACAATATAACTTCGAGATAGTGCATAGAAGAGGCCTTCTCCATAGCAACGCAGATATTCTTTCCAGAAGATCCTGTTTAAAACGACAATGCCGATATTGTAAAAGGCTCAAAGAACGAGAGGAACCAGTTGAAGAAGTCTTTAGGCGACCACCATCAAGCCAGGGGATTACGAAAACAGTCACCCTTAAAAGCCTGAGAAAAACTCAAAAGAAAGACAATGACTTGAAGGTTGTCCGAGAATGGCTCAAAAATGGAGTCAGACCTACTTGGCAAGAGACAGCTAAATAAAGGGTATTAGACTAAGATTCCCTGTATATTCACGATGGCCTATTACACCGGAAATGAGAGCCCCGATGGAATACATCTAGTCCGTCAAGTGATACTGCCGAAATCACAGGTCAGAAGTTTTGTTGGAGGAGCTTCATAGCAGCCGTTCAGGAGGATACTTTGGTACTAAAAGGACACTTGCACGAGTTCGGGAAAGATTTTATTGGGTCAATTGTCGACGGGATGCAGAATATTGGTATAATATATGTGACCTTTGTAATGGCAGAAAAGGGCCCAAAACAAGAAGTCGAGGTAAAATGGCACAGTACCTTCCTGGAGAGCCTTTCGAACGAATCGCCATAGATATCCTCGGACCACTTCCCTTAAAAGAAAGAGGAAACAAATACTTGATGGTTGTTATGGACTATTTCAAAGAGGCACGAAATAGTGCCTATTCCTAATCAGGAAGCGACGACAGTAGCGGATGCATTTATGACGAACGTTATTGCAAGACACGGAGTCCCCTTGGAATTACATTCTGACCAAGGACGAAATTTGTAATCCGAATTATGGCAAGAATTGATGAAATTGTTAGGTATCAGGAAAACACGCACTACGCCTCTCCACCCACAGTCCAACGGAATAGTAGAAAGATACAATAGAACAATATTCCAGTATCTTTCAATGTGCATCTCTGATAATTAAAAGGACTGGGACACTTTAATTCCTCTATTTCTGCTAGCCTACCGAAGGTCTGAACATGAAACGACCAGTTATACTTTATCCATGATGATTACTGGAAGGGAGATCAAACTTCCATATGATCCCAAAGTGACTCTAAGATGTAAAAAGCCCTGTAACAGGTATTGATAGCACAATCAATGACTGTGACCCGCCTGTCGGCCACAGTTACCAATAATATGCCCACTTTTTGTAGGTAAAAGTTAAAAGCCCATAATTATAATTAGAGTGGAACAGGTGCCATTATTTACCCAGGAATAAAATGTTTGTTGTTGTTTTTTATTTACATTTTCTTTCAGCTTCCCACGTCACCTTAGGGTCTAATGTAATCCCTAAAAATTTCATATTGTCACACTTTTATATATATTTACCAATAATATTTAAATACGGTTCAAGATCTGGGGTGGTATTCTTGAGTAGAAAAAGCATAAAATTAGTTTTTGATACATTCAATGCCAAACCATTATCTCAGTACTACTGTACTTCAGAAGCTTTTTTCGATAAATTGAGATCCCTGGTGAGATCATTTAATTCATTTTGATTGAAGCGTTGAGGAACTGATGACGTCTCCTCATAGGCACTGTTAGTTTCATTAGCATCAGAACTTTTATTAACATCAGAACAGCGATCAGAGGGAAAATATTCGTCTTTAGAGATATCTGGTAGCTGATGAAATGTTAGAATCGGTATTTCAGTGCGGGATAGGGCGTATTGCCGAGTTACATTACTTATTACTGCGGTTATTTCGATTGATTCCTTTAGTATTTACTAAACAGAAATTACAATCATTGAAGTGGTTTTTTGGTTTTCTCCAAACCATTGGTACGTCGAATTTTAGACACTTTCTTTTCCCGGTAGTCCATTGCCGTAAATTATCTGTAAAAGTTTTACATACGAGATGCGGGGCCCAGTTTTTGCCCTTATCACCAAGGTTAACTCCAAAATATTCAAGATACGCTCGCTTTACAAAGTCAGTAATAGTTTGTCTGTTTTTTAGAAACATGTATTCTCCGCATATATAGCAAAACACATCAGGTTGATTTACACAACTTCTTCTTCTTGAACTAGAACCTGAACTCATTTTAATTCTATTCAATAACACAAAACACTCTTTTCTTAACATAAAATAACACGCCGAATTCGATCTACTCTCATCAGTAAGAACGCACAAACTGATGAGACTTACCCGAGTTATGAGATTAAAAGGGTCAGTTCATGTACCTGATAGGCAATGGTTCCACTATTTATAGATTTACCTGGAATTTACTCAATTACAGACTGACAATAAAACCATTGTACCTACAATAATGAATATATAATAATTTTAGAATTCTCATAAATGAATATACTGAATAAAAACCACATTGGTAGATAAGTTGATATATCTAAAATAGTAGAGCTGATAGAGAAAAACGGACTGCATGTACAGATTTAGCGTCCCAATTATAGTTAAAATAAGCACTAAAATCCCAGGCACAAAAAAAATTTTTTTGTTGCCCTGTGTAATTGTTTATATAACTTGATGAGCCTTTATTTTTATAGGAAGGAATTCCTTTATAATGTGTTAAATACGGAGAAACTCCCAGTTTAAAAGATTCATTAATCAAATGAGAAAAGGATTCAGCAATGTGTCAGTTTATTTCATAATTTTGCCGATTATTTCAAGGACACCTTTAGCACATTTTAAGATCGTTTTCTGGATAATGGAGATTATCTCTTCTGTAGTTGTTGAAAAAAGAAAGAAGCTTGTATGGAAGTTATTTGTTTTCATATCATCGTTAGGAGTAGTTTGATTTAGATTTAAAAAATAATTATTATTATAAAGTTGTTTTTTTGTTTTCTTCATTTTCCATTTTTATTACATTTATTGATTTAGTTTTATTTTGTCTACGATTTTCATTTATATTATTTATTAAAATTGTTAATAACCATACATGTTTGATTATGGCAGGTTTAATAGAACTAGTAACATTTTTTACCATTTCTTTGGTATAATTATTAAAAATATAAAAAGATCGATTCAGAATTTGATAGTGTACCATTATATATTAAAGCAGCCTTTATTATATAAATATGTTGTTTTTTTACTCAAGAAAATGTTGTAATGTGTGTACAAATACATATTTTTGTTATTTTTCTTTCTTTATTGTATCAAATAAAAACAGTTCTGTTATGAAAAAATGTTATTACGCGTCCATAATAATAGCGACGTAGGTAAACGTAAATAATGACGCTAAAATAATTTTTTATTGAAGTTCTTTTATCAAATAAGAAATAAACTATTGTTAGTTTAAATATTCTCAATTTAATATACCTCTTACTTGTTTAATGTTTATTATTAAAAGTGTTAAACAATTAAATGTTACGGGTTAATTGTAAAAATTTAATTAATTTAAATTTGAATATCTTTTCTGGGCATAATTAAAACAAATAGTAAATTTACCTGTTTTCCAATAAGCTGACGCAAAATAAATGAAGGCAAAGTAAAACTATTAACTTTATTCGGTATATCCTTCTAGTACAAAGTATAACAATTTATTTCAAATGTTCTACTCCCATCATAATTCTTCCTAGTTTACTAAGAGGGTCTTTTCTATCTTCTTATAGTGACTTTCCTGAAAAATAAAAATAAATATTAAACCCTGAATAAATTAATAACAATAACATAACCTTTAAAGTTCAATGATTCTTCTTTTCTTCTCATACATAAAAATTTTCAATTAGCAAACTTAAACTTCTCAGGTAAACCTACAACCAGATCTTTTCTATAGTCTTACCTCTAGACTAATAAGACCGGCTAAGGCCAATAACAAAAAAAAGGAACTTTTTTTTGGGAAGCTTTCTTTTAGAAACGCACATTTTGGTTCGTGAAGAACGTGCTCGCATTATTGCGGATTTTTACATAAGTTTAAAATATATTTAGTGAATATTTCAATATTTACGAAAACTAGTAAATATCACATCACTGTGTATATAATTTTCATAATTATTCTTAGATTTAGAATTTAAAAACTTCGACTTTATCGAAGCCACTTGGAGGCCTCACGCCACGCCAAGGTGAGTCTTATAGAAATAACTTCTTCAAAATATTCTATTTAAAATTTACTCTGGTTGTTAAAATGTAAAATATTATTTTAGGTCTCTTTTCTTAAGTTATCGTATAATAACTTACCTTATCGTATCGCATCAGATTGTCTTGTTTTCAAATCGTTATTCACCTTCTTAATTCATCTTTGGGCTCGAAGAAACCCTCACGAATATTCCTGAGTAGGTACAGGTTACGTACATCCAACAGAGGCTGACATCACTAGGCTAAGAAGCAGTGAATGCACTTTTGAAGAAATCCTGAGTCTCCGAAGTCCACTGGAACGCAGCTAAGTAGTAGCAATATAAGATATACCAGTTTATTATTGATTTTCATATATTTTTCGTACTCATAACCATAGTCCATAATGCTTAGAGAAAACTAGGATTGTTCTTTTTATTAAATAGGAGGTAGTCTTTAATAACCTACAAAATATATAAAATCCATATAAAACTTACAGATTTGCTATCTAAATTAATAACTGGCTTTTTAAATATAATATAGGTTTACTTACTTTTTATGGCCCAAAAGATTAGTTATGAATCTTCACGTATTGTATGCATACCACACAGAAGACCGGGGCTTGATTTTATTGTAAATATTACATTATTCTCTAATATTAATTGTAGCATAACTTCCAGGGCCGTGCCTGGGTATATGGCCGCCTGCGTGCCAGTCTGTATGGCCGCCCCCAGGATAACATTAAAAAAACTACTTTAATTTTTAATGTTTATTATTATACACAGGGCATCAAACCGGGAAAAAAATCAGTTTTTGGTTAACCGAAATCGAGAACGAAAAAAAATATTGGTTTTGTTCCCAAAACCGGTTTCTGAAAAGAAAAACCGGCTAAAAACCGGTTTTATGAGATTTATATGTTTGGATGAAATTTAAGAAAAAAAAATGCACAAAATAAACATTTTTTTATTTAAAATTTAAACAATTAGGGAAATCTTTCAATCTTTCAATTATCGCGATTGAAAGTGAAATTGCTGAATCTTCACGAAGCAATTATTAAATAAAGTACATATTAAAAGTTAATCCTACGGGATTTTTTACTGACAAAATCGTCAATTGCTTCGTGAATATTTAAAGATTCAGCAATTTCACTTTCAATCGCGATAATTGAAAGATTGCTCATACGTTCTTGCGTCATGGAAGTACGTAGGTAATTTTTTATGATTTTCAATTTAGAAAAACTACGTTCTCCAGACGCAACTGATACAGGCATGGTCAATAATAGTTTTAAGCTTGTAGATACATTTGGAAATGAATTTTGTAAATTGTGTTTGTACAAATACTTTAGGAGTTCTTCGGGTTGTTTCCTATCTTTTATAATTATTTTCAATGAAATTAACTCTTCGTATAATTCTGCTCCGTTTATGTCGCACGATTCGCCATCCTTGAATTTATTATGAAAGTCGAAGCAACTTTTTTTTATGTCGTCCTCTCCTATTTCAACAAATTTATATAAAAATCCGAAAGACTGTTCGAAATTGGATAATGTTTCAAATCGGGTAGTAACAGATGAAATGGCTGTATCCAATATTACATAGAAAAAATTAATTTTGAAATTTTCTTTAGCAGTTAACTGAATATCCTCATCTCCTTCATAGTCAAATTGTTTTCGCTTATGGCGTCGACGTAGATTAATTTCAACAGGAAATTCCGGTTGTATTTCAAGTGATTCACATAATTCATCAGCAATTTTCAAATACTTTTCAAAATTTTCATCAGTCTTTGTCGAGTAAATAAACTTTTTATTAAATTTCACCACACGAACACACAACTTAAAGTTTTCAGGAATTAAGCAATTTATTTTTATTCGTTAAATTAAAGACTTTAATAATATCGGATCACACACAGGACACAAATAACGATTTATTCTCGCTAGTCTATAGACTAATACGACTAATAAGACGAATAAGACCGCTTACGCGACGCCGGTCAATTGAAAAAACTATTTCGGCTCGTCGCTCGTGCAATGTTCGAAAAAATTCGGATTCGCTGCATGACTAGGTATATAAATACTACAACGACCTAATCAGTTTTTATACATTTCTTATTTCTGAGAAACTCTTTTTAGATAGATTAGATTAGAGAAACTGTTTTTACTTCGTATCTTAATGAAAACAAACCGATTGTATTTTTGCCCAGTAAACAACTTGTAACGATTTGGCCGCCTCTTAATTTCGGCCGCCTGCGTGCGGTGCACGCAATGAACGCCCGTCAGGCACGGCCCTGATAACTTCATCCCATTGTAAATATCTTATAAACAACAAACTCTATTTGCTGCAGATAATAAAATAGTGTAGAGAGACAACTCCCTTGTTTAATTAAAGATATAAATTTAAGTGCCCGAACCACAGAAAATCCTGGAATCGGGAGATAATTTAACCAACAAGGTTAATATTAAAAATATATGCTTTTCTCAATAGCAACATTCTGAATATATTCCCAAATTAGAGCTCTAAATGCATGATCCCAGATAGCACAAATACGTCTTATGGACTAAAGGGAAGTAAAAGGCTCAAAGTCTGTCGACCACATAAAGTTATTAGGTTGGGTTGCAAGCGCTTTCGACCTAAAAGGTCATCATCAGGCAAAAAAAAATTTGTGAGTAGGTAGGTACAATCACTATGTGTCCACAGAAAAATAAGTATGTCGAATTAAAGATAAAATTGTAAAAAATTGTAAGAATTGGCACATACTGCCTCCCTCATTCGAGGTTGGACCCTGTTCAATTTTGAATTTCGCCTGCCTCCATCTAATGAAGGTGGTTTCGAAAGAGAGTACGACTCACGATAGTCGTACTCAAAAATAGTGAATATCAACCGTTCGAGATTCTTAAATCTAAAGAAAGGTTATTTTTGTAACAAACTGTACACACAACACATGTGATCCTATACACAAATATGGTATTATATGGCGTAAAATCCATCCGGCAACGTCGCAAATATATTGTGAAACGTCAACTGTATTCTTAAAGTAAAATA